TACATAGTAGCTTCCTGTGAATTTTAATCCTGGGTGCTGCCAAAATACTGCATTTCCCATTCCTCTGTCTACCCACAGTGTTTTTACAGGCCCCAATCACAAAATAGCTGGACACTTTTCAATCTGTCCTTACCTTACCACTGTTAGATAGGAAAATATTAATATTTCTATTTTAAAGTAGGAAAAATAAGGCCAGGAGACCTAGGCGTCAACTTAACTGCAGCCAACAGTGCTACTGTAGTTGCAATCATCTATGGATATCAAGTAAGGCAAAGACTGCAGGGAGAGCAACCATGAGACTAGCACTGAGTGGGATTAAAACATGCTTAGGGTGGGAAATTAAGGCATCCACAGTTAATGATTCATATTTGCAAGACATCATTACAAGCAGACATGATCTGTGTCATTCACGGTATTTTATCTAGTGCATCCCAGCCATGCCTGCCACGAGAATGGCCCGTTTCTGGCAAGGAAAGCCAGACACCTCACACATAACAAAACTCCAGATTTCACTAGTCCAACACCCAGGTACATCTGTGTGTGATGCAATCCAGCAGCACTTTCTCTTTAGCTGTGTGATAAAGGGAGGAATAACCAAAACTCCCTTTCCAACCTGTCAAAACCCAGCAAAAAAAGTCTTCTACATCACTTCATAGAAATGGTGCAGGCGATCTCACTGAGTCGAGTTTTAGGTCCTTTAGAACACAGTCTGCCCTGAGATCGAGAGGAGGCATTTTGTACATCGTCAGTCCTGCATTGAGCAGAGAAGAATCCTGCCACTTGCACAGTAACAGGTATTTCAAAAGTTTTTTTAATAATGCCCCAAATTATATTGTGAGCACTCTCTGGGGGCCAAAGGGCTAGAAAGATCATCTAACAAATACCCAAGTGAAAGTTTAGCTTCCTGAAATGCAATTCTGTATGTGAACGAACAGATTCGTCACTCCTAATGATGGAACTGGGACTTCACCTCATTTGGCCAAATCCCCTCCAAGCCAGTGATCACCAGGGCAGGAATCCCCTGCGATGTGTGGTTATTTCCAACACAGCTGAGCTGTTCGCTAAGAATCTCCTCACAGTAAACGAAGATCTCGTCAACAGGCAAGACAATCTGAACAAGATTCATCACATCGTAAAAGAGATGCCTACGCTTGGCCAGAATACACTAGAGCTACCTAAAAATCAAGTGAAAGAAATCCCTCCCCGAAAGTCATTCCCATGCAATGGCTATTTGCCCATGTGAAACAAACCGGTCTCAGTCTACTTAGTCTTGACCTTAATGGTAAAGAATCCACTTCTGTATTGAATCACAATCGTCGCTTTACATCTTTAACTAGTTATTTCAGCATGGAGGTAAAAGGATAACAGGGCAGAGGACGGCAAGGGCAGTCCTGCTCATGAAATCCATCCTGTGCCGCAATACACAACTGCATCCTACACACCCTTTCATAAACTGGGCAAGCTCTGCCATGAAGTCAATAAAACACTCCTTCCTGCAGACCTCCAGAAAGGCTTTTCAGTATCCTCTGATGGTTATAAACGTCCTTTAAAGTCCAGACTTTGATCTCACAGCCGTTTTACTCTCCTGTGTACACACTGCCAGCTTAAACTGATCTTCCCCGCTGTTTTCTCCTTAGCTGCATCTTCTGCAGCCCTTCCCGTGCTGAAAAGCTAACCTCTTCTCGTCAGAGGTGGTCACACTTTTGTGACCCCCGTGTCTCTCCTGTGTCCCTGCTAAAGTCTACTCAAATGTGGGTAACTTCACAGATACCGAATCACACTCCTAATAGGGAATAGGGGCTCCCATCCTGCTAATAATAAGCAGCAGTCCTGTGGTCCAGGACTGCTGACACCAGGAACAGCAGTTGGCACCTACTAGCAGCACTGAAAACACAGAGGTTTAATTTGAAAAGAAAGCATTGATTTCACCCATGCGTACACACCCGCTATAAGGAATGGATGTTCGAAGACAAAATAGTGTTAAGACAAACGTTTTTGTTTATCAGTGGAGATCTACCTGCTTACCCTGAGCCAGTGATCAATCTCAGCACTACCACCACATGTTCTTAATAAGTGACCAATCTATCTGACAAATCAAATTACATCTGTGATTAAGCCCCTCTGATCAATACAATTGATAATGGCTTCCAAACAAAGCTTTATTTCCAGACTCTACCGAAAAGACGTGTTTCCTTATTTCCACTCATTTAATTAGAAAAGATAACAAATAGGTTGTTAAACCTCAAGCGATTTCCTTTTTGCTGAAAGGATGTTGAATGTGCAGACGGCAACACACCCACCTGGCCATAAATCAAGGTATTGCATTACAGGTGGCAGGGAATCCCAATTGCTTTCCATTCCCATTCTCTGGGGGACTGAACTGTGTTAAAGTTGCATTTTTCCTGGGAGTTTTACCAGGATTTTTTCTTTCTAGCAACACTCAGCCTAAACAGTCATCACCTTCCTATGATGCCATATCATCACCTTCATAAGATTTCTCCCCAGCAGACTTCCCCCTCACACCCAACCATCAAAGTTCAAAGTTTCATTTTGCAGCTGTGCTCAGCTATGTTCATTGAGTTCTGGAGCCCCACTCCAGAAAAACATCTTTTTTGACCCATTTGTGCTCACACACTATGCCTTAAACACTCCAAGGGGGAACCACATCCCATTTAGGCACTTTGAAGTTACCTGTCCACACCACTTTCAAAGCAGACTTCTCCATGAGATGATTCACCCGTAGCCACCCATTTGAGAGCCAACACTTTAGAGTTGCTGGGTTCTTTCTGTTGGTTGCAAGGGCAGCCGTGAGTGTCTAGATAAGAGTCAGGTATTGAGCTCTTCAATACCTGCTGATGTTTCGGGGCAAATGAATGCCAACTGCTTTCCACACAGTTTGCATTGTAAAATTTGGCTGGACACATGCTGTGTCCCTATACACACTTGACCCACACTGATATCATCAATGACCATTTCTACCCAGGACATGCAGACATACACAAATGGCATCTGACATTAACTCAGGATTAGCAGGTACTGTCTCCATGGACAAAAACCTTTTTATAGTGCTCACAAGTGCAATTTCTGAATCAGTCCCATTTAATCACCATAGGTAGAAATGACTGGTGGAAATGCAGAATTATCCCAGTCCAATATTTCAGCATTCCATTAAGAAAAACAAACTCCAAAGGATTTCTATATACTTGCTACTGCTTGGGCATTAAGGGCTTGTAAAATGACTGAGTGTGTTTCTACATTAGAATCAGGAAAAATGTTTTTGGAGGTTTAATTCAGTGGAGAGGAAAAAAAAAAACTGGTTTGGATTAAAATTTCCAATGAGAAAAATCATTTTGAAAAAGCAGAAAAAAATATTAACACTTGAAGTATTTATTCTGCTATTTTGAATGTACTGTATTTAATTGAATTTCTTTAAATACCCATGAAAATGAAATGAAGCACTTAGTTGGCTTTCAGATGAATGTTTTTAACTACCCTGACTTTTCCCTTTACTGGATTCCAGAAGAAAATTTCTTCAAACAGCTGCGTTTAACTGTACAGGGACAGTTGAAATAGTTTCTGAATCAAAGAAAACTGTATCTTAGTAGATAAAAGCCGGGGCCAAAAGCCATCCTTGCCTTCAGTAGAGCTCCTGCAGGGATCAGCTTGTCCCCAGGATTCTATTCTATCGTTAAGTAGCGTTGTGCAGAACCGTCCTTTAGTCTGTAGCCTAACTGCAAGCAATGCCAAGGGATAGAGGATGAGAAGACATCCTCTTCCACTTTTTCCCCTTTCAGGAGGTGGGATGCAAACATCAAGCACGATACACATCTTCCCACCCCTTGCCCCAGCAATGTGATACCTTGTGTTCGGAGCCTGACAGCCTACCGCCGGTCCCTACGCCTCCTTTATTCCCCAAACCTGGACCCGCAGTTTGAGAGAGGCACTTGGAGGGGGAGAGGTCCAACTCAATGCCTCAACTTGGGGCTTTGACAGCACTGCTGTGGGATGGGATGGGATGGGATGGGATGGGACAGCACCAAACCCAAAAGCGTTCTTTCTCTGCCATGCTGATCTCTACAATTTCAGACAGCACGGGTGGCTGCGTCAAAATTTCCCAAGCTCTCTGCAGGCTGCCCACTGGGGAATTGTGTTAGCATAGACCCTTTCAACATCACACACCCGTGTCCCGTCTTGCACGTTGGTCTGCAGCTCCTCTGCTCTCAGCAACTTCTTACAGCCTCTCTCCTGCTCTGAAACCCCGCGTGCCCAATGCACGATGTGCCATGCCTGCTCCTCAAGGGAGGCACAGCTCCATGGTTGCTGCCTGAGACCGGGATGGAGAAATCTCGGGAGGCTAAAAGAGGAAAGGTGGCATCATCGACCTCTCCCTCCTCTCCTGATCGCTGAAGCAGGGAGTGCGTGAAGGGGACTGGAGAGCCTTCCAGAAGCACTGCCCGATGTGGTGTGTGCTCCATGTCATGAGAACAAGGAGACGATCTCAGCTGTCTGGCCCAACTTCAGAGATACCTTGCAGCCTTGGAGCACACCCTTCCTTCCTCTGCTTCGACACCAGGGCAGGAGCAGCTTTGGCATGGGGATGGGAGAACAGTTCAATGGAAGGAGAAGGTCGCCGTGACTTCCCTTGAAGCACACCAAGGCCTATGAGAACTTCAGGCTTTCAGATCCCACGGAAAAATTGGTTAAGGCACTTCCAGTTCAGAGAGATGGATGACTAACTGTGATTAAACACACTGAGACACCTAAGCTAGGCTTACCCAGCTGGGAGGCAGCGAGTGATCCCCAGCGAGCAATTCAAACTCTTGGTTGACTGAATCATACTTTGGAAGTACCTATTCCTCTCCCTCCTAACGCAAGAGCTCAACATCAGCTGGAGTGACTGCCCTGCAGCAGAAGGGGTGAGAAATGGCATCGGCGAGGCAGATGTGAGGCTGGGTGATGTTGGTTTTGCAGGCCAGGGAGAGAAGAGAGCGTCCCCATACCTGAAGTCTGGTTATCCCCCATAAGCTCTGCCAAGCACTGGCTGCGCTCCTCTTCGATCTCCTGCATGATGCTGCACTCTGGATGTGTGCTGGATGCCTGCAGAAAGGGCAGAGAAGGAGAGAGTGAGCAAAACCCAAATATCCTCAGAGATGCGTTCCTGGGGATTCATGGTTGTCTGAGCTCTCCTGGGCCACCGCACAATGGGGATATACATCCAGCCTTATTTTATGTTTGCTTGAGAGAGGGGAGTGTAACCCAGAGTTTGTTGAAAAAACAGCATTTCCCTCCATGACTTCCTTAAAAACAGCATTTCTCTCCATGCCTTCCTTAAAAAAAACCCTTATTTTTGCTGAGATCAGGAGCAATTCTGCTTCTTTATGCTCCGGGAACCCTGCCTGACTAACCTAACACTAACAGCTATCTAGGGCAGGAAGATGGCAGTTTTAATATTCATGCCAAGAGCAGTGGGATCTGTGCTTATATGGTTTATTCCCTCCATTCTCACGTGGCCTGCCTCCTGGCTCATGCTAATTCAAAGCAAAACAAAAACCAAATCAAATAAGAATGAAATCTCCGATGCAGATTAGGAGATCAAGGAGCTAAAAAGCAGGAAATTCCCAATGACAAGACTTTTTCCCCCAAGCGGTTTCTCCTCAGTCAGACCTAATTATATTGTGTTTGTAATACAACAGTGGCTATAAATGTTCAGGTAATTAATCGTGGACTCCTTACAACATGTAATTCAGGAACTGCCTCAATCATAAAATGCGCTAATGACAATTTGCACTCCAAAAAAGGAACCAGGAGGTGGACAACGGGTCACTTAACACAGTGTCCCCTTGCCACCAACATGCTCTCGACTTGGAAGGAACACCTTGCTTCACTGCTACGGCAATTGCAAGCAGAAATTGAGGTTCCATTACGCACGGCGCTGCACAAACCCCTGTCTCTTTCAAAAAGACTGGAAATGGCATTCAGCAGGGAGAAACCTATTCAGAAACTCGAGAGATGGTGAGAGGGGAGTGATGTGAAGAGAGCAGAAGTCTCAGCTTCGGTTTATACCATCACTATTAAATGCGATACAGAAAGAACCCTGAGTCGGGTGACCTTCAGAGACAGATTTTGAGGACAGGGGATGAGCCTTTGCCTGTAGGAAGTCATTGATTCAGTGTTCACTCTTGCTGGATTTTGGAAAAAGCATGTATTTTCATCAGCAATAGGCAGAGAAAGGAAAAAAAAAAGATCTTTTCATGTCTCATTTCAATATATTTGCCAGACAAGTCTGCAAGACAGAAGGCCTAGAAATCCTTTGAAGGAACAATTGTTTGATGTAAATTGCCCTTTGGATTAAAATTATAAAATAATTTAGCACATTATATTTATTCTCACCATTTCTTATTAACCCAAACCAGCTCTCTTCTCTGTTTCACCCCATGTTTTGTTCAGACTGTAATTTCCTTTAGGTTGAGAATGGGCCTTGATTAGTAGTGTATAAACAATTAATTATGTGGTTTTCTAGTCAAATTAAAATTAAAAAAAAACAAACATGAGAAGGAGGGGAATTATTTGGAGTTGTCTTGGTACTAAATTTTTTTTTTCCCAAAGGGAAACAGATCTTAGGAAATTTTATCTTGGCTCATCTAAAATACCATAGATTCATTTTTGTTTTGATTTACAGTGCTTCTTGCCTTTTTATTTTAACCTTAAAAAAGCATGAGGGGAAGCGTGAGAGATTTGCAGAACACTTGCTGTAAAAATAAAGACTGAAATATTTTCACAACATTCTGACTTTTTCAAAGGAAAGTTTTAACTCTCTGGACTTAAACTATTGCCAAATTCATCTCACATTTATAAATAACTCAAGTTTTCACTTTATAAATTAATTCTTACAGCTTTAACTTTGATCAGGGCTGGCAAAGCGCTGTGTACAACTGCAATGGATTTTTTAAATTTTTTTATGCAGTAAATTTTCTACCAAGCCCATTAGCAAGTACTTCACTGCTGCATCTTCCCTTCACTAAAAATGCATGTCTAATTTGGTTGGTTGCATATTTACCACAACGGCCCGATAGCTACTTTTGAGTAAATGTTTTATCACCTTTCGGAAAAAAAAAAAAAAAGAGGCCAATTCATTGTTAGTATTCTGCAAAATGGGCTCATGATACATTCGGGTAAACTTGATTATGGATGTAATTTAAAAAATTTTTTTTTTTTTTTCATCCAGTCCAAGAGGAAAGACATCTATGTTAGGCAAACCACTGGAAAAAGAGTGTCAAATAGCTAAAACACCAGGTGATCTTGGCTTTTTCAGTGTTGGTGTTGACTTGCTGTAAGCTTTTAAGCAAGGTGGCTCCATTGACTGAGGGAGCATTTAGGTGCCCGATCCCTACTGATTTCAAGCAGAACCAGACACTGAGGTGGGATTTAGTCTCCCAAATAGAAGCATCTAGCCTCAGCTGAGATGTCCTAGGGTACCTACCCCTCTTGGGGGTCATGGGTCCATGTAAATCGTATGTTGGATCTGACAACCCCAAAACAGCTACCTCATATATATTAAGCTCTCTAAAACAGTACTAGATACTTAAAAGCAAACGAATTCTAAGTTTGCAGATGACACCAAGCTGGGCGGGAGTGTTGATCTGCTGGAGGGTAGGAAGGCTCTACAGAGGGATCTGGACAGGCTGGACCGATGGGCCGAGGCCAGTTGTATGAGGTTCAACAAGGCCAAGTGCCAGGTGCTGCACTTGGGTCACAGCAACCCCATGCAGCTCTAAGGGCTTGGGGAAGGGTGGCTGGAAAGCTGCCCAGTGGAAGAGGACCTGGATGTGTTGGTCAACAGCCGGCTGAATATGACCAGCAGTGTGCCCAGGTGGCCAAGAAGGCCAACGGCATCCTGGCCTGTATCAGAAATCGTGTGGCCAGCAGGAGCAGGGAGGTGATCGTCCCCCTGTACTGGGCACTGGTGAGGCCACACCTCGAGTGCTGTGTTCAGTTTTGGGCCCCTCACTACAGGAAAGACATTGAGTTGCTGGAGCATGTTCAGAGAAGGGCAACCAAGTTGGCGAGGGGCCTGGAGCACAAGTCTTATGAAGAGCGGCTGAGGGAACTGGGGTTGTTTAGCCTGGAGAAAAGGAGGCTGAGGGGAGACCTGATCGCTCTACAACTACCTGAAAGGGGGGTGTAGTGAGGTGGGGGTCGGTCTCTTCTCCCAAGTAACAAGCGATAGGACAAGAGGAAATGGCCTCAAATTGCACCAGGGGAGGTTTAGATTGGATATTAGGAAAAATTTCTTCCCTGAAAGGGTTGTCAAGCATTGGAACAGGCTGCCCAGGGAAATGTTGGAGTCACCATCCCTGGAGGTATTTAAAAGAACTGTAGATGTGCCACTTAGGGACATGGTTCAGTGGTGGACTTGGCAATGTCAGGTTAATGGTTGGACTCAATGATCTTAAAGGTCCTTTCCAACCCAAATGATTCTATGATTCTCTAAACAAACAAACAAAGACTGGGATGTATCTCACCTGTTCTCAAAGTGGGACACATCTTCTTTCATTTTAGCTGGGTAAAAACTGTATCTTTAGCCCAAACTAATATTTACCATTCCTTGTAGTCCACAGAGAGCTAGTGAGCATCAGCCCTGAAGGCTTTCATCCCACTTCACTGACAGTAGTTGGACCAATTCAAACTAAAATACCTACTATTCAGCTGGAGAAGGTCAGTGATGTGTGAATTTAATGTCTAAAACCTTTAACTGAATCATCAAGGTCAACAAACAGACTCACATTGGACGCCTTCTCGTTTATGGCTCATTTTCCACTTTAACTAAACAAGTAAATAAATAGCCCAAACAATCACAGCAACCCTCCTTCTACCTCCCTAGTGATAACACTAATAACCCTCACATATCACAGCCATCATTGCTATAGGCTAACAAAGGCAGCAGGAATCAAAAAAAAAAAAAACAACCCAAAACCCAAAACCCCCACAGATTTGGGCATCACTAGGAAAAAGAAAAGTGTGTCTTTTTTAGTCGGTGGGTCATCAGTTCACCCAGCATGATGGTGAGCAGGGCAAGAAGTTCAGCTGCCTTAATTCACCTCCCAGGTGACAAAATGCTCATGGCTGAAAAGACCCCCCAAGAGCTGCAAGTCTTGCCTGTCAAGGGCAATCTTCCCTGGGATGAGGCTAAATAACTCTCCTTCCTTGGTGTATTCCTTCTAGAAAAGCTTGAAGTAGACTTTATAGACAGCTTGGTACAAACTCACTTTACTTCTTCCCCAGTTATGGTTTTTTTTGCTGTGGTTTTTTTGGTTGGCTTTTCCTGTGGAAAAGGTAGAGATTTGGGGCTCTGGCATCCTTCACTGCAGTGGGCAGTTGGCCACGCAGAAATAGGACTGAGGACTACACTAATTCACATTTCCCATCCAAAAAGTGTAGATAAAGGAAAAGCATGACCAGCTTTGGTTAGCTCACATTAACATCGGCTAGTGAAGAATAATCCAGTTTCCTGGACATCTCCATTGTGGCTGAAGCCAAAACACAGTAAACCCTCCTTCACTAAGCCCTAGTGGCATGCCCAAGATACCACGTAAAAATTGTGGTAGGTTTGTCAGGGGTCATTTTTTCCTGCACACACTCTGAAACCCTGAGCAGAAAGACGAAGGGAATGTTTTTCTGGATGTGATTTCCTGCAGATCTGAATTCTGCAGCAACTCTCACTTGGAATTATCCCCAAAGTCTTTATTAATGAGAGTTTTCCTTCCCACCAGATCCCAACAATTGTTAGAGGATTACCGCACAGTCTGCTACTGCAAAGAAAGCCATTGTGTACACTCTTTAATTAAATACAATTCAAAGGATTGTCACAGACTGAAGGAACCGCAGAAATGTTTAGTCTCATCTATGCTGTCTGCCGTTAGCAGGGCCAGGCTAACCATGGGCCAACTCCTTTGCTTACACGGCAACTCCTCAAAGGCCGGTGGGATTCACAGCGAAGCCAGAGCTGCAGGTAAGCAGGAGTATGGGCCCACAAGAAGTGATGTAAACCTCAGTACCCCCATTTCTCCTGATCCCAGAGTGTTCCTGGGCTCA